TGTGTGAGCCAGAGGCTAAAAAACTGTGAGCTAGCTCACACCAACTCAGCTTAGAGGGAACAGTGGACATGACTTAAACATTCGAAAGGCTGTCATGTGGAGGAGGGCAAGGAGCTGTTCCAGTTGGCAGCAGAGGAGAGGACCCGTAGCAATGGGTTTAAATTACACGCAGAAACGTATCGGCTGGATGTTAGGAAAAACCTTTTCACGGTCACAGAGTGGTTCAGAGGTGGAATCAGCTGCCTGGGGAGGTGGAATTAGCTCCACTGACAGTTTTCAAGAAGAGGCTGGAGGAATATTTGTCAGGGATGCTTGAGGCTGGTCCTGCATTGGGCAGGGGGTAGGACGACTAGATGGTCTCTGGCCCCTTCCAACTCTATGATTCTATGAAATGTGGATTTTGTCAATTGAAAACATTTCAGCTCATTTCGGGAGCTTTTGCTTCTGGGCAGATGGGGGACTCAGTGGGAGATGTGGGGTCCCAAGTTGGATCCAGCCATAGGCCCACCCAGTCGGCTGCGATGCTTCTGGGGACCTCGCAAGCGGGGCCCAAAGGCTGCATGCAGTGGCCATCCTTCCACACGACATTCCTGCCAGGTAGGCCACTGAATACTCCCAATTTACTGAGGCGGTTGGGCCCATCTCCACCCTGGAAGCAAACCCGGGTCCCTCCAGGCCACGCCCAGCACTGTGGCTGCCCCAGGCACTCCATTCTTGGCCATGGAGCTCACCTGAGGCTGCTGAGTGGAGGGGGAGCGGCGGTCCATCCCTGACCATTCCTGTACCCGATTTCAAGGGTACAAAGCCGACGTTCCCTCAACGCTCCACAGTGCTGTGAGCAAAAATTCTACCTGGTGAGTGGAAAAAGCTAGCGGAATTAAAGTTGTGAGCCTGTCTACAGTTGTTGTTGTTGTTGTTCAGTCGCACAGTCGAGTCCGACTCTTTGCAACCCCATGGACCAGATCCCGCCAGGCCCTCCTGTCTTCCGCTGTCCTCTGAAGTTTGCGAAACTAGTCTACAGTTGACTACGGTGCAAATTAGCTTTTTAGAAGACTACTTCCATGACCTTGTGAAAATCTCAGAATGAATCGTTTTAAACTATATTTAAACTATATTTTAGGAATAATTTAAGCATTATAAGAGAAAACAGAAAACTCAAATTTCATTACAGAAAATGTTGTCCTCTATGGGGCAGACCAGGCCTCTGAAGAACAGGTCTACCCGCCCCAGTCCACTATGTTGGTAGAAAATATACCAGCACTTGGGGGGTTGTTGCTGTTCTTTACTGAAATGTGACAACCAGCATTACAGGTCAAGTATAACAGAGGTGGAACCATCACTGTCAGAGCCCTGCCTAACCCTAACAAACCGGAAGTTGCTTAAATGTTATCAACCTGCCCGAGCTACTTATTTATTCAAACATATACCACTTTTCTCTGCGACTCAAGGCATCTTACAAATCATACTGAAAAGCATAACTGGCGTGTGCAAAAAAAAATAATCAATTTTTTTCTGGCTCCAATATAATGGGGACCATTACAGTCAATGGGCCCCATAGGCTATCATGGAGAATCATCCAGGGGGATCTGGGGGGCTGTTTTTTGAGATAGAGGCACCAAATTTGTTGCATTGCTGCTGGTGCCTCTCCTAACCCCCCCCCCCAAGTTTCAAAAAGAGTGGACCAGGGGGTCCAATTCTATGGGGCCTAGACGGAAGTACCCCCACCCTCTATTGTTTGCAACGGAGGGGAGGAAAGGCTTTCTCCGTTCACTTGCGGGTTGAAGCAAAACTCCCTGAGCTGCTGGCTAAAATCTGTGTGCCTGAACTCCCTAGTGCAGCTTAGAGGGAACCCTGTTCAAAGCCCTTTGCACATATTACCTCAGCAGTCCTTTCGACACCATTGCAAAGTAGGCCAACACGAGTTCTGCTTTCTTCAGACCAGGGACTGTGGCCGAGAGACGGCCTGTTTGTGTCTCGCCCGAGGCCTTGAGCAGGGGGCCCTCTCCACCACAGTGTTCAGCTGGCCCCAGACTCCCGCGAGGGTCATATGGGACAGTGCGCCGGTAAACGGCACGAGCCCCTAGAGTGGCAGCACCCGCACAGCTGATCTCCCTGGCGCTTGAGGCAGAGCACCTGCATTGGGGGCGCTCTGCATATACTCTGTTGCTGCAATCACAGCCCTACAAGGTAGGCCAGTCCTATTATCCTAACAGGAAAACCTTAGCTAGTCACGTCACACTATTTTTGACATTTTATTTTAGCTCATTTATATCCTGACCAGCGTTCCCTCTAAGCTGAGTTAGTGTGAGCCAGTTCACAGTTTTTTAGCCTCCGGCTCACAGATTTTTGTCTCAGCTCAGGAAGGATGGGGCTCCAGAGCAAACTCATTTATACAGTAGCCAGATCCCTCGCTCACAGCTTTAATGCCAGGAGCTCACCAAGTAGAATTTTCGCTCACAGGACTCCACAGCTTAGAGGGAGCCTTGGTCCTGACTTCCCAGGCTCAAGCCAGATTACATAAATTAGACGCTGAGAGCAACGGTGGAGTGGTGGTCAGAGCGTGGCTGGGACCAGGATCGGGACCGGCCACCGAAGCTCCCTGGGTGACACCCTCTCTGCCTAACCTACCTCGCAGGGTTGTTGTGAGGACAAAATGAGGAGAGGGAAATGATGGAACGCCCTTTACATTCCCACTGGGAAGAAAGGCTGGACAGGAATAAAGGAAATAAATACAACGCACAGTATACCATGCACAGGGAGGGGCTGTGTGGCTCAGCGGAAGAACCTCTGGTTGGCAGGCAGGAGGCCCCAGGTTCAGTCCCCGGTGGCATCTCCAGTTAGAAAGGCCCAGGGGCAGGAGGTGATGGGAAAGACCTCCGCCTGAGACCCTGGAGAGCTGTAAAGAGGGACCATGGCTCAGTGGCAGAGCCTCTGCTTGGCAGGCAGAAGGTCCCAGGTTCAGTCCCCGGCATCACCAGTTAAAAAGGACCATTCAGGAGGGGATGGGAAAGACCTCCGCCTGAGACCCTGGAGAAGACTGACTTTGATATGCGGGGGTCCCGATTCAGTCGAAGGCAGCTTCATGCAAATCCATACAATTGTATAAAATCAGAGGTGAAAAGGAAATAAAATCCCAAAGTGACCTAAACTCTTATAGTTCCAGGACAGATAGAAAGCGTCTGGGGAAGGGGGGGAACTGAGTGGCGGAGACCCCCAAAGGCAGGCTCCTCTCCAGCCGTGTAACAGGGGCTGCCCCAGGGCAGGTTCATGGGGGAACGTGGCAACCCAGGAACTGGCCCTGGAAACGCCCTGGGAAGATGCTAAAACGTGACAAGCCCCAATGTCCATGACGGACAGGGCTCCCTTTGGGCGGCGGCGGCGGCAGGGGAACGTGGCAACCCAGGAACTGGCCCTGGAAACGCCCTGGGAAGATGCTAAAACGTGACAAGCCCCAATGTCCATGACGGACAGGGCTCCCTTTGGGCGGCGGCGGCGGCAGACCTTCCGATCCTCCAGCGTATCCTCCGGACCTCCCTCCGCAGGGCTCCCGCGTCTCCCCGGCCGGGCTTCTCACCTTGCGGCTGGCTCGCCTCGCCCTCAGCCCCTTGCCCAGGCAGCGCTAACGCTGG